GTGAGCCATTTAGAGTTGGTTAAAAGTGAATCGAGAGAAGAAAAATATTTTAAAGTTTTTGGGCATGCAGAAGGTCACAGGTTCAAGCCTCTAGTTAAAAGGCTCAAGTAATAAGGTGATGTGAAAGATTCTTTACCTGAGACACGCTGCCAGTCTGAGTGGACAGGACTGACCTTAATGGACCAAGGGTCTGATTCAGTATAAGGCAGCTTCATGTGTACATAGGTTGGTGCAGCTGTACTTGGGGACTGAGCTAGTGTGGTGCTGGTACTGTGAGCTAGGAACTTCACCTTGGCCATAAACTCACTCGGTGACCTAACGCAAACCACTATTGCCTCAGCTTCACACATTCCCTTCCATCTGTAGCCTGGGCACAATGCTGTCAGCCTGTCTTTAAAAGTTCTCGTAAGGATTATTGAAGTGGTGCACATGGACTGTTTTGAATGCTCCAAAGTACTTTATAAACTATTATTTATGACTGGCTCAGCAAACCCCGGGGGCAGGGGGGGGGCGGTAGATAAACTAGAAGTGTCCACATGGTAGGGATTGTTTCTCTAATAGATCAGCAAGCAAAGACTTTTCAAAAAGTTTCCTTTAGGGCAGATAGTTGACAAAGGGATTTTTTTTACTTGATTCACTGCTCCTCTTTCAACTGCTCAGTCTGCTTATTGATCAATTAAATTTAAATCAATGTGCGCATTAACCAAACCTTAATTTCAATGTTCTTTTGGAAAACAGAAGGAAGTACAAAGTAACCATGATTCTATAACTCATGGCTTGCAGAAACCCCCTTCCCCCAAATACTGTAAAATACCTGAATTAAAATAACCTTAGAAATTGTGCAATGATTCCTGCTAATAATGATGCCAGGCAGTTGGTTGGCTCCTGTTTGCACTCAGTAAATTGTCTCAAGTTGATCAACGGTTTGCAGCTCTTGTGAGCCTAAATCACTCTTGTGAGTGGTGACAACTGTTTTTTTTTTTTACAAATAATTAGTCACGTTGAGAGTTTTATTTCCTCTGTGCATGTGGTGGCAGAGTAGAACAGTATGCCTTACCTTTTTGTTCTTGTGTCTTTTCGTTCCTAGCCCTGTGAAAGTGAGCTTGGTAGGGGCAGTACTCTTCACAATGCAGCATACCCATTACCTTCCAGTAGAAGTTCACAACCTCATGTTGTTCTACACCATCTTCTTAGTGGTTGTCAAGGTAAGGATTTTTCAAGTGTGTTGCTGGTGTAATTCATAGCACTTATGTAAAAGAAACATTTACTTTGGCTGTTCGTAACAGCTTTTGGCCACATACAATAAATGCTACTACTACCTTACCTATTGACAATTTCCCCCCCAGAAATACACATTCATATACCAAGTCTATAATAGCTTTTAAATTACGTTAAGTCTGTATGGCATGACAGCCGTCCTTCCCCACAGAGGGATGAATAAGATGGCTTTGATCCGGAATCAACTTTCCAACCTCAGATGTAGCAGCAGCTTAAACATCACTTTGACATGACTTGTCAATCTGAATGTTGGTACTTTTGCATGATGGATTATTATTTTATGTTACGTCTGTGCTGCAGAAAGAGATGGAAGCGAGCCCTTTAGGAACAAAGATAAAAGACTTTCATAAATGAGTAATGCCATTAATTTGGGGTCAGTTCTTTGAAGGGCAACTTCACTTGACAAGATAACATCGTCCTTCACTCCCCCCCCCCCATTGCAGTTTCCCCATAATTACTATACTAATAGTATCACCAGTGCCCATATAATGGTATTTATTACCCTGGCAAGACCAGTGGAAGAGTTGCATAGTCTCATAATATTTAGGGATGTACCAACCTTTGACTATGGCTTATGGGGGTCACATATTATTTATTTATTTACAATATTTTATGCCCACCTAACTAACCAAAAGTGTTTTTCAAGTGGCTGCCTCTTGTAAGGAACAAGCCATAGTACTTTATGTGTGGTGAGGAGCAAACCATCCAATAATGTCTCATGGGGATTTTGCCACATTGTGTAACTGGGTGTGGGGTCCACCTCACTGGCAGTCCAAATGTGTGGGTTTGATCATGTCACGTGGCCTACAGTTTTGCCTAGAAATGATTCTGCATGCAGTATTATCTCGGCTGCTTCTGTTTTCAGTTGTGGGTTGACGTCCTGGCTATGTCGTCTTTTTTCTATCTCTTTTGCAGGTAGCCATGATGCTGACAGAATTTAGGACTTCTCCGTTTGCAGTCCTTGAAAATGCACTGGGCTCCTTCCTCTTTGGTTTTCAGCCAGTTTGCATGAAAGCAAAGGCCAAGGCCAAAGTATCTTATAATGGTGGCACTCCAGTCAATGAAAGTACTTCTGGTGGCGAGACGGGGGATAGCGTTAAGAAAAGGCATGCAAAGAAAACTGAATAAGGAACCCGCTGAGGATAGCACCTTTGGGTGGCCAAAAATAGCTTGTTGGTGGCCATACATGCGTTTAATGTTTCTCCTTCCCAATGATGTGAAATGACAATTGTGTATGAGGAAATTCATGTAGCAAGAGGCTAGCTCCAATTATCCCCAGAGTTCTGTCTGTTGTAAAGTTTCCTATCTATGCCCCATTTCACGGGGCTCCCCACAGACGACAATGCCCACGGACTTTTTGTCTGCTACTGTTGTGTGGCTCAATGGTGCCTCTGATTTCTTTTTTGTAAAACAGAGTTCATATTTGGATACTAGACATCATGTTAGATTATTCTTTCCTAATGTAAATGATAAAATGAGAGACTATATTTGATCTTACTTGTATGAGAAAATTTTTATTGTGGTTAAGTTTTCTAGTTAAGAAAACCAACCCCCTTGCTTTTAAGAACTTGGTTAAAAAACACATTTTTTAGGTAACAGTCAAATGTGACTGCTAAGACTTGGCTATTTTTTTTTTGTCAATGATAACTTATTTTAGGTACCATCCAGCCCACATTAAGCACTTCCAAATCCAGTGTAGGAGAGAATTTTGTGCTCAACTTTCCTGCTAAAATGAGGTAGGACTAGAAAGGGCTTGATCTTGGCTGGATTCTAACCAAGGGGTTTAATAGCAGAGGGTTTCCCCCTCAAGATGTAATTTATAAAAGGTTGTTTTAATCTAATTGAACACTGTGAAGCATTTTTGTGAAAAACTAATACACCCGGTGACTGAAAGGAGCGATAATTCACTTGTACCGTCAAACTTCAGAAACCAGCTTAGCCTGTAGTCGCTTCCTCTGAAACCTCTGATTTTCTTAACTCTTGTTGTTTTGGTACCAAATGCAGAAGTTTAATGATGTCCATGCTTGGCTTGAGTCACAAGAAATCTTGTAGTTCGATCTTTCATAAGTTTTTAAACTTTCCCCTAAGTACTCATTCAGATCACTTTGATACCAGATGATGGCTTGGATCCAATAGAGCACTTCTGTGCCGGTGGGGAATGACTTTCTCACCTCCCCCCTCCCACTGCAGCCCAAAATACTCCTCAAAATTCAGTTCCTGGATGTCCCCCCAGCAGCATTTCAAGGGGTATTTTGAACTGCAGCAGCAGCAGCATGGGAGGTGGGGAAGTCAAGATCTATGGGTGGAAATTTCCATGTGTAGAAATGCGCCTTTGGATCCAAGCTGATGGTAAACGTGAGCTTCGTTCACCCTTCATGGATGGCTTTTAAGAGGGCAATGAAACTTGTAGAGAAATCCATGTGAATTACGTTCATAGGGCATGAAAGTTCATATGGCAAGAACTTCATCTAGGACTTCATCTAGGAGGAACATGGGCCCTTTCTCCAAATACAGCACAAATTATTCTTAGTGGAATAGAAAGTGCATTCCAGAGAAGTTTTTCCAAACCATTTGGAGCACTAGCTATCTGGTGCTAGCTGGAAGTAGGCTAGACCTGGACAGCTTATGACCCACCAAACCAAATGCAATTCATTAGCCGTGTGTAGTCAGTCCCCAAAGGTTTGATAAATCTGGGTTTTTCCCCCCTGACTCTGTGGGACTACAAGAAGAGGAAGGTTGTCAGCCACAATATATGGTCAGTGCTCTGCTACTGGCTTGTTGGGTCACAAATTATGCAGGGCTGGTGAAGGATAAATACAGTTTTATCCCTTTCTCTTGCTAACAGTTTGTCTGCATTGAGAACTCTTCTGATCAAAACTTGGCATTTTGGGTGGAACACTAGTTGTAAATATGGTACATAGAAAGAAAGATTTTTTTTTGATTAAACGGAGGTGACTTCCACGTCACGGTGCTGAAGAACGGAGCCCAATTTAAAATGAACAAAACTAGCCAACGTTTGTGGGCACATCAGCTGTCAGGATGGGTGCCTTAGGGCCCCTGAATATTTAGAAAGCATACCGAACCAAGCACAGATTATGCTCATATCTTACTTTGCTCACTGCAAAACAGAATCCTTTTTATAAGAAACTTAAGGATTTCATCCAGGTCACACCTGGGTGTGGACAGGAGGTGTGCAATGTTCAAAATGCCAACTGTTCACCTTTTGCCTTACAGCTTTGGGTGGGGGGCTCAGTTTAACATCTAGGTGGTCAGTTCTGGAATGTTGTACATGACTGGAATATCACAAAGTGTTCTGGATGGAAATGTCCATGTAGTATTATGTTGAATTCAGTTACCAGACAGCTGAAAAACAAACACCAGCAAACGTATTTCTAACACAAGTGTTTTTTTCCCTTCATGCTGGAAAACTCAGTGATGTCTTTGGGCTGACCAAGTGTCTTGATGCTTTTTGGTACTAGATTTTTGTACTGAGTTTGGTGCTCTCCACGCCACTTCAACAGTAATTGCACTGTTGTTGTTTTAGCACAAATTGATGTGAAAATGTATTTAAAATTATTGTAAAAAGGCATTTATAGTTGGGCAGAAAATAGTCTGCTTTGTATTTGGATTCACTCTGCATTTACGAACCTGCTATTAAATGAAAAACTGAAACTTCTGTTATTAGTATGATGGGTAGATATATGGACATGAGAAAATAACTTGTTAATGAGCAATACAGATATGTTTCCCTGTTCCGTGAGGACTTTTGTTCATCTTCTAAGTTACAGGAAAAGTATTTTGTTTGTATATTTCCCCCCTACTAGTTTAGACACTGAGATTCATGGTGGAAAGCTGACACTACAATAGTATGCAGAATCTGATTTCAGTGCACATACTGGGTAGAAGAAGAAAAAGAAGAGATTGTATTTATACCCCGCCCTTCACTACCCAAAGGAGTCTCAGAGCGGCTTACAAACTCCTCCCCCTCCCCCTCCCCACAGCAGACACCCTGTGAGGTAGGTGGCGCTGAGAGAGCTCTGACAGAAACTGCTCTTTTTTCAAGAACAGCTCTTATCAGAACTATGGCTTGCCCAAGGTCATCCAGCCAGGTGCAAGTGGAGGAGTGGGGAATCAAACCCGGTTCTCCCAGATTAGAGTCCGCTCATTTAACCACTACACCAAACTGGCTCTCATCTGCATAGGATTGTTCTGTGAATCTTTGGCTTGATCTGTTACAGTTTGTTCTGTAGTAAGGATCACACTGGACTGGAGGAACATCACAGCTACATCCCAACAAAAGCCCATTTTTGTGGTGGATTATGGACTGCTAGGTCAGTGCAAAAGTTATGTTCCCTTACAAATGTGAATTTCCTTAAGCTAGTAGAAAATATTTTAGTAATCTGCTTTTAAGGCCAAAGATACCCAATGATATCAAACTTAATTTTCAAAAGAAGTATTTTCAAGGACTCCAACACAATAAAAATATGAAACGGTATTACTGATGAGTGTTTATAGTGTAGGGATGCAGCTTTACAGGGCTCTCTGTGTAAGCAGTAATCCCAGTGGGTCAGATCCAAAGCATTGCTTCCTGAGTAAAACTTGTAGAAGTAAAACTTGTAGAAAACTGAGTAAAACTTGTAGAAAACTTCTCCCCTTTCCTGTCTTGCCTAAACCCACAGTGCTTGGGGGGTTGGGGAATGGACCTTTAGGAGCAGCATAGGTGACAAACAGGCCACTTCCACACTGTCATTTTTGTTCCTCGTGTAGCTGCGGTGGCTCAAGTGGTTAAGACGCTGAACTGCAGGCTGTGGAAGGTCGGTAGTTCAGCAGTTCGAGACCCGGGTGCCGCATGACGGAGTGAGCTCCCATCTCTAGTTCCAGCTCCTGCCAACCTAGCAGTTCGAAAGCAAGAAATCGCAAGTAGATAAATAGGTACCACTTTGGTGGGAAGGTAACAGCGTTCCGTGCGCCTTGGTCACGCCGGCCACATGACCACGGAAATGTCTTCGGACAGTGCTGGCTCTTCGGCTTTGAAACGGAGATGAGCACCGCAACCCTGGAGTCAGAATAGACTGGCTTTCGAGCAAGGGAACCTTTACCTTTTATCCCTATTGCTTTGGGTGTGTCCCTGCCCCCCATTTTCCACATGTGTTTTGCTCCCTCTGGGACTATTAGAGAGAGCAAAACACATTTTTTGGGGGGGGGACCCTGAAGCAATAGGGGCAAACAAGTGACAAAAATGACAGTGCCGAAGTGGCAAAACCGAGGGGCTGTGGTGGGAGGAAAAACCAGCCAAACTCACAATGCCAGTGGGACTACCGTGACACTGCCAGAACGGCAGGGTTTCTTTTTTAAACCCAACCCAGTGTTAGTTCGTATTAGTGGCTCACAGGAGCAATCTCTTACTCATTCACTTCCCCTTCACCTCAGAAACACAAACGGAAAGCAGTTCTTGCTGTAACTGATACATCAACAGAAGTGCCAAAACTCTTGCGATGAGGTGAACACAAAAACAGCTCATACTCCAGTTTTCATAATACCGTGCTTAGTTCAAAGGTTCCGCCCTGACATTCAGCATCTTCATGAACTGCTGCTAACTAGACCGATATTTTCTCATTTTAACTGTTTTTAACTGCTGTTGTTTATATAATCTATTTTAATTGTTGGACCTGTTGTGGTTACCCGCCCTGAGCCCACTCGCAGGAAGGGCAGGATACAAGTCAAACAAATAAGATCTTCCAGTCAAAACGATCACTTCTCGCTCCAAGACATATGATCTGTCATACCAGCTGTGATTCACTCATGGGGGAAAAAAATCAGTTGTTTTCAAAGAGTCAGTGTAGTGTAATGCTTAGAATGTCTGGCTAGGATCTGGGAGACCTATAAATTTGTGCCTATAAATATTTTAAGAAATAGGTTTAAATCCCCTTCCTGCCATGGATCTCTGGGTGATCTTGGGCCAGTCACTTTCAGCCTAACCTACCTCACAGGCATATCATGAGGTTACAATGGCAGGGGAGAAAACAACGGTGAAAGCTGTTTTGGGTCCCTATTGGGGGTGAAAAGTGGGGTTTTTTGGGGGGGCAAGATACATCTGAGGTCATAACCTGCTGAAAGGATCTGTTTTTTTTTAAAAAAATGTGAACATGGTCCCTTAGTTTGTGCTTTATCATTTTTCATGCCTTCTAATTTAGAAGGCTTCCTCACCTTCCTAGTCTGTATTTCTCTTTTTACATGAGGATTTACTTTAAGAAGTAATGAATTGGAGGAAAGTGAAGCACTGCACTTCCAAGCTGGCCTTGTGAAGAGAGCAAGCAAATTTGCTTTCTGATTCTTACGGGTTTCTTAAAAGTCAACACTCAAACGTGTAAATAAACTAGATGCGTGTGTTCTTTCTCTGCTGTATTGGTATGTGTAGTGTGTGCGTGTATGTGTGTGTATATATATATATATAGAGAGAGAGAGAGACACACACACACACACACACAGAGAGAGAAAAATATATTGACAGAAGAAAGCAGTTCTGCAGCCACTGTGTGATTTCAGTTTTGGCTGCTCATTTCCTTGCCGAGAGTGAATTTCCTAGACTTAAGTCTGGCAGCTTCAACAGTTTTGCACCTTGCCCTCCCAAGCCTTTCCTGTCTGGAAGCAATTGAATTTTTTCCCCCCAGTGAATCACAGCTGGTATGAGAGATCATGTTCTTGGAGTGAGAAGTGGTCGCTTTGATTGGTAGAGCCAATCTCATGGAGAGCTTTGAACATCGGGGCAGAACCTTTCGGCTGAACGCTGTGTTCTGAGGTGAGCCGAGAGTCGAAGAATTCTGAGGGGTTATGTTCCTACCAGCCTGTCATACTGAGCAGCTCGGTTGCTGTGTTTTGTACTTGAGTTGTTTCAGGCAGTGTAGCTTCATTCCCTAGTAGTACGATAGTATTTAAAGTGCGCTTAGTTCTCTTCAGTTATGGGGTAGCAGCTTGGGAACTGGAGCTAGCGTGGTTTGACCTGCTAGCGCTCTGTCTTCAGACCACCAGCGAGCATCCCATCAATCCAAAGGCATTTTCACGCGTTCTGTCAGTCTGAAGGTGTTTTTCACGCTTAATAACATTGGTTTTCTAGCGCTTCACTCCTGAATGTTAGCGGTGTAGAAAACAGAAAAGAGCCTTTCTTCCTCCAAACTGAACAGACAGATCAATGAGCCTTGTGTTTAATTTCCCCACATGGCTGGCCCTGCTGTCAGGGTGAGGTGAGGTGGCCCACCTCAGGTGGCTGATTGTGGGGTACTATTAAAGGGCGATATATTGTCTATTGTTTAACTGACAATCATTTATGACATGTATTTCAGCACCATGGGGTAGTGTTTGGAGCTTCTGTTGAGAACATCAAAATGTCTTGTGCTTTTTCAAGCATCGGAGAAATTATTTCAGCATTAACTGCGTCAAATAAGTTACTTCAGCAGCTCTGTGCAAACAAGTCAGCATCACGGAAAAGGGTATGCTTAGGACCTGGTGCTGAGGCAAGACCTGACGTGTGGGGTTTCATCAGTATTCCTCAATACCATGTTATGTGAAATACTAAACACACACAATTCTAATACATGTATTATGTGGGGAGAACTATTTTGGCGTTCTATCCTTTTAAAAGAGATATGTGAAAATGGGCAGTTGGAGCTTTTCATGGCATGCAGCTAAATAATATTACCTGATGACTGCTGCAGCTCAAACTCGAAGGGGCAACTAGCACAACCACTGTAAAAGCTGGCAACTCCAATGGCAATGGGGCCACCAGGACTGGACTTTGGGGGCACTGCCCCTGCTAGGCTGGCTCAGAAGGGGACCCCCAAATGCAGGTTGTAGCCAAAGATGGGTGACTTCCACTCAGTACATGTCCATCTTAATTCATTCACTTTCTTTCCCCAGTACATTCTAGGAGTTGTAGTACCCAAAACGTCTGACATTAATGATGAATGGACATTGGCTGCGAGGCATTTGCAAGCTATTTCACCTAATAAAGAACTAATAACTAATAAAGACTTGGCGCTCTGCCGTGACCTCCCCGCCACAGTTGAAACAGTGAGTGAACTTGAGTCCCCTTGCACGTCTTCGATTCTGGCTTTGGATCATTTAGCCCGCTCAGCCCGGAAGAAGTCGACAGACTACTTATGACTGTACGCCCAACCACAAGCAGCATTGATCCGTGCCCCTCCTGGCTCATTAAAGCGGGCCATGAGGGGTTTCGAGGTGCCCTAAGGGAGATTGTCAACAAGTCCCTCATTGAGCGGCAGTTCCCAGGGGCACTCAAGGAAGCGATGGTCTGTCCGCTCCTGAAAAAACCAACTCTGGATCTATCTGATGTTGGGTGGCCAGTCTGACTGCGGCCCGGATGATCTGGACTGGGTGTTGCAGGCTGTGGCTGGTTGGCTTAGACTTAGCTGGCTGAAGCTAAATCCGGTGAAGACGGAGGTCCTGTGCCTGAGTCGGGGTGGTTCGGGGATGGGGATCCTGCTCCCGGCTTTCGACGGGGCGCCACTAGTGCTAGCATCAGAGGTTAGGAGTCTGGGAGTGCTCCTGGACCCCTCCTTAACAATGGAGGCCCAGGTGGCAGCCACTGCTAAGTCAGCCTTTTATCATCTTCGGCTGATTCGGCAGTTGGTTCCCTTCCTCGACCGTGACGACCTGGCTACAGTGATCCATGCAATGGTCACCTTGTGATTAG